GGGGCCCCCCCCCGTCTCTCGTGGGTGGGTATGGTGGGCGTGCAGGGGGGGCGGGACGCACACTCACACATGCATGGATGGGCGGGGCACACATGGGTGGCAGGGCACACGTTCGTGTGTGCGGGTGGGTGGGAGTGCGTGGGGGGGGAGATCTGTCTCCATGGCCCGGTTCTGCCAAGGCCACGCCCTGGTAGGAGGCCACAGACCGGGAGCTGGGGACCCCTGGTCTACAGGATACAGTCTTGTGCTCACTACCATTTACAAAGCTGTCTACTGAAAAAAGAAATATCAGCCATGTTCCTTTAGGACCAATGTTCCTCAAGCTTTTAGGCCCCTGGTCTTCCTGCTGAACCAGAATGTATATAAAAGTCTGTTAGACAGAAGAATCCACAGCTATAGGTCTACCAGACCCCATTACTTGTGCCAGAATAGATGTCCTTTCCTTCCTATGCATTCTAAAATTGTGATCAGGACAGCTGGTTATTGTTGTTTAATTTTTTGTTGTTGTCCTTCTTTGGCACTACAAAGGGTTGTAGAAAGAATGAGAGAAGAATCATGTCTCAATTCCAGTTGTGTTGGATACCAAATTATACCATTGGACCTTGATCCTTGAATTAAAGGATTGTGCTCTGTAAAATGAGATGCATGGTCAGCTTAATCAAAACAGAAAGATGGCTGCTGCATAGTTGCACTTCAACATTCATTTGCCCCAGGGGAAGAGAAACAGTACAATTGTTTAACTATATATACATCCAAAATAGTGATTCCTGCAGAAAGACATAGGCCCTTAAGAATTGTTGTTGTTTAATCATGTCCGACTCTTCCTGACCCCATGGACCAGAGCATGCCAGGCCCTCCTGTCTTCCACTGCCTCCCAGAGTTAGGTCTAATTCATGTTGGTAGCTTCGATGACACTGTCCAACCATCTCGTTCTCTGTCGTCCCCTTCTCTTGCCTTCACATTTCCCCAACATCAGGGTCTTTTCCAGGGAGTCTTCTCCTCTCATGAGATGGCCAAAGTATTGGAGCCTCAGCTTCAGGATCTGCCCTTCCAGTGAGCACTCAGGGTTGATTTCTTTCAAAATGGATAGGTTTGTTCTCTTTGCAGTCCAGGGGACTCTCAAGAGTCCCCTCCAGCACCAAAATTCAAAAGCATCAATTCTTTGTCAGTCAGCCTTCTCTATGGTCCAGCTCTCATTTCCATACATACACCTCTCTTGAGAATGAGGAAGCAAAAATGTTTAAATATACAAGCCTCTAGTTTTATTCCAAAAGGTTATGGGAAGTTTTCAAATACAAGGCCAGTGTCTCCAAAAAGCCTTTCACCAACTCCCTTCAGTTCATGATTTTTGTATATATTTTATTTTTTTGCTGGAAACTAAAACAGTATGTTTAATAATTAAGTGTGCTCCCCAAGCCAAAAAAAAAAAGCAAGCTTAATATTGTCCAATAGATTCTAATACCCTAAAGAACTTTCACATTTGGTTCTCATTAATTCCGGGACTGATTAACACTTCATTATTAATCAACAGTGGTAGGAGAAATCAGCCCCAAGACTCAACAGATTGAGGGGTTTAGCATGAATTTTGAGAAATGAATTTACCCGATAGTTTCAATTAATTTTAACTTGATGCCTGTCTCTTCAGACTGCATGATTAATCAGTTTATATATTATGACATTATTTTTCTGGAGTTTTTTGACCTCTAAAAGTAAAGAATTTCTGGTAGTGTTTGAAGGGGAGACAGACTTGCCTTTTGACATTGTTTAAAGATACCGATAGGTTACGAGAGAAGCAGTGAGAGTTGGGGGTTACCTCCCAGAACTCTGTGGAATGCCTTTGTTTCTTCTGTTGAGCAAGAGAAAAAACACTACAACATGTGGTTTCCTGTCCCTTGGAGCAGGCGTATCAGCTCCTTTCTGTGCTCAAAAAGCTGAAGCACAGATGTCCCCTGTGAAGTCTTTGTCAAGGGAATCATCATTGGGTCATCATCATCATCATTGGCATTCCTTGAGCTGTGCTATGTATCTCAGTAGCTACAGATATAAAATTTACTAGATAATAGAAAAGTTTGTAGCCACATTCTAGTAAGGTTCCTCAAAACATCTTCTAGAAATGTGCTTTTAATTGCACATAAGTGATGTTTCACCTTCTACTCCACAATCTGGTTACCAGCAGGTTACTTTTTTTTTAAAAAAAAGAAATTATTACAATAGTTCCAGTGTTTATATGGAATACTTTTTTCCCTGCAGAAATAATTTCTAATAGAATAGTCTGGGCAAGCCAGAGACACAGTGCCGTTGATTAGCAGTTGTTCTTGGTTGTGTCTGCCATGAGGATGTAGTGACCATACTACAGTATTGTGCTCATACAGGTCCTGCTATATCAGAACAAATTCTATGATTTATTCCACCCTCTGGTCAGGTGAGTGGGAAGAAACTAGTACCCTGTTTATTCCCTATTTCTTTGCACAATTATGCACCTCTAAAAACGGTCATAGTCAAGAGCTGTATTAAAGAGATAAAGCACTGTAACCTTTCTTTAGCATTCTGACTTTTCCCCATATCTGGAGTCCTTGTAAGTAAAAGCGAGTTAGATTCAGCACCACTGATGGGGGTATGACAGTTGTCTGATACATTGAAACTGTCAGTTCCTGTACTACTTGTCCATTCAGCAAACGAGGAAAGCAAAACCCTTCCCCCTCCCACCCCATACTGTCATTGTCAGGGCAATGCAGGCAGCTTCGATAAGCATGCAGGGGCCATAGTAAAAACAATGGCACTTTTGTCATTTTATCTTCTAGTTGAAAAGAAAAATAGTATGATTCTGCCGTCAAGAAAAATATATACAGTGAGTCCACCTCCTGAAGATTACATGCCAACCACTAATGATGACATAAGTGATGAGAACTTGGAAGGTGATGACAGTGACAGTGATGCTGATGTTTCAGGTAAGATAATGATGCTTCATGAGTTCTTTCCAGAGGTCAGTATTTAAAACTGTAGTGTACAAATAAATGGGTTGTTTGGGGAATTGTGTTAATATATAGAAGCATGCTGTTTTGAGCTAAGTGGCAGAATGGCTAAGATTTTGCTGATCTGTTACTACCTTTTCCTTTGGTCTTAAAATTGTGAGCAACGCTACTCAAAGTTGGAGACGAGTTGACACCACCTTTTCCTTTGGTGACAACTTCAAGATGACAAAGTACCTAAGTGTGTGGAAATTAAAGGACGCTTGTAGCAATATCTCAGATATGTCTACCTAGTAATGTGACCCTAAATGCAATTTTTTGAAAGTTTGTGCTGTTCAAAAAATGAGTAGGGTGAATGCTACATCCTGTAATAAGCATTCATGAGATTCATAAAATTGCACATATGCAGGAAAGAGATTTAGTATTTGAGAGTGCCTTACATAAAAGTGTCCCCATGTGTTACATGCAAAGTTTGCTTCCAAAGAGAGATAGACTCTCTACTCTAACTTTCTGCCTATTATTTTAATTACATCAGTGAAACAAAAGCTTCACATTGCAATATGGTAAATATTTTAAACCAATAATCATAGAATCATGAAGTTGGATGGGTCCTATAAAGTCATTGAGTCTAATCCCAGAACTGGACACAGTACTCAAGATGAGGCCCAACCAGTGCCGAATACAGGGGAATGCAGGATTTGGAGACTATGCTTCTGTTAATGTAGCCTAAAATAGCATTTGCCTTTTTTGTAGCCACATCACACTGTTGGCTCATATTCAGCTTGTTATCTATGACTAATAAGTAGATGGAGCTGATACATAGTGATGAACTGTGTTTGGCATGTTCAATTTAGAAATTGCACATTCCTGTAGGAACATTGTAAAGCTTGATCTGTCATTGTTTCGTTATATCAAGTCGCCTCCAACTTATAGTGAGTCTATGAATGAGTGACCTCCAAAATTTCCTGTCATTAACAGCCCTGCTCAGCTCCTGCAGACTCAAGGCTGCGGCTTCCTTTAGGGATTCAGTCCATCTCAGTCTTCTCCTATTTTCTTTCTGCCTTCTACTTTTCCTAGCATTACTGTCTTTCCCAGCAAGTCTTGACGTCTCATGACATGCCCAAAGTATAGCAGCCTCAGATTTGTCATTCCACACACACCAATAATGTAGGTTAAAGGATGTAATTTTGTTAAACCAAACTCATGGAGTATTTTAAATGCTGCAGGGGTGCTCCAGAGCCCTCGAAACACAGCAAAAACGCCCCCCTCCATAGCCCTCAAGGCCATAAGGGGACTTACTGAGTCAAGAAACCTTTTTAAAAACATAACGGGGTTGAAGCATCAGGACTGAATGTTGCCCACTTCAGTGTAGCATATACTAAAATCATGCATTTAGGTGTTGTCAATGCTTAATTTTCCTTGGTTGGGTGAAAGCCACTGCCGATCTTATTCTAGAGGTTTTATAAACATTAAATAAGAAGGAAGATTAAATAAGATCCTACTGTGGATCTTATTAAACTATGCTTTAAGAGATTAGAAATTATGTCTTCTTAGCTAAAGAATTGTATGCACAAGGATGGACGAGCTAAGTTCCAGGGACCATGTGTACTAGAGAATTTGCATGTGCTACATGGTTTAATGCTAGAACTGGAATTTCCAAATAGATGTGACATGTTTCTTTTAATCTAACTATGCTGCTGCTGCATAGAAAGAGTTTCACATGTAAATGCGAGTCAGTGTTTCATGATTAAACAGTAACAGAACAGATACAATTCCATTCTTAGTAACCCATCTGCATTGTAAGATAATAATGAGGAGGAGGATGTGCCATCAAGTCAATTCTAGGTTTTCCAGGTAGAGAGAAGTGGTCGACCATTCCTTTCTTTGGGGGGTCATCCTGGGACTGTGTGCAGCTTGCCCAAGGCCACACAGGCTGATTCTACTTGCAGAAGGTACAGTGGGGAACTGAACTCCCAAACCCTGGCTCTGCATGTAACTCAGCTATCCAGCCACCTTCATAGTAAGATGGGCATTTATTTTATATAAAAGGAATCATATTTATTCCATGCTTCAAAGAAAAATAGCTGCGGTCCAATGCATAGGTAAGTTGACTTAAATTCACAGTATTTTCAATAAGTATGTTTAACTGCTACATATAGCAGTTCCCTTTTCCCAATTTGGGGAATGATTGTGGGCAAACAAATCTATACAGACGTCTTCTACTTATAGGAACCAATTTCCTCTGTGGAATTTAATGGGTGCCCTTTGTTCATGTTTTGTTCTGTGTAAACGGAATGTTGGTCACAGAATGATGCTCATTAGACAAAATCCCATAGGATTAGGTGTGCCGTAAGAGGCAGGCTTTGTTAAGAAAAGCATGGACCAAATAAATATTCTGTCTGTAAATTTAGCTGCGTAATTTTCTCATTGCAGTGACAAAAGTCATAGCTTTCAAAAATTGTTACCAGTATTTAAGGCTTAGAGGTAAAACATAATTTGTCAGTAGCAAAATATGTCAGGATTAGACTGTGGATACCACACATCTCTCCATCTATTATTCCTTTTCCATTTCAGGTTGGCAGGTGTTTTACAGCCTAGGTAGAATGAAAAGGTCTGATTTATGACAAGCTTGTCTAGCTGGAGACTGAAGAAGAAAAGGAGCAATATAAGGATTGCTACGTGAATGTATTTCAGTATAGATCTTCATCTGACTCCACATTTTAAAGCATTTTCAAACTCCTCCACTTCCTATGGAATATGTAAAGTTATACTTTAGTACACTATTGTCCCATAGCTTTATCAAATATACATCTTTGTGAGCTGATAGGGTTGTAATTAAAGATAAAAGGCCTTGGCCTTTTATTATTTTTATTGAAAGCCTAGCATCAGTTCTTTTCATTCTTTTTTTTCCCAGTTTCCAGTTCATATCCAACAGCTGCTTCCTTGCTTTGATGCAGGCTTTCTCCCCTTTTTACCACGTCAGCATTCATTTACAAGAGTATCCATGGCCATTTTGGATCTTATAACAGTTCATGCATGACACATAGCTATCATTCCTGTCTGACATGGTGCTGTAACTTCAGAAATAATGTATTTGTTTTACAAATTCAGGATCTTTTTTCCCTTGATCCCTTTCTGTTTAGCTCTCTAGTTTGCCTTCTTATATACGATACATTGAAAAATGACCATATATTTTATTCAAAGAATTACATGCCTTCCAGAAATGTTGGACTGTGATTCCCATACATGCTGGGTTATGGGCTGAGCCTAATGAGGATAGTTGCCCAAAGGATCTGTAGAACAAAAGGTAGGGAAGGCTGAACTGTATATGGAGAGTTTTCCATTCACATCAATTTTGAACTTTTATGCTGTTCAAGTACACGTTTCAAACAAAATTGGCATCACAGCTGCTGCACTTCCTTGAATGGCCTTTAGAAATAGCTCTTGATTGCAGTGTTCCTGTATCGGGATCTTATCAGTCTCTAAAGTGTCCAGTCTCTGTCTCTGTCTCTGTCTCTCTCTCTCTCTCTCTCTCTGTGTGTGTGTGTGTGTGTGTGCGCGCACACACACACACACACACACACTCATGCACTTATTCACTGCCTCACAATCAGAGAGAGATTTATTTTTGGCGGTGGCAAGAAATGTGAAGGGATTCATGCTTCCTCTCTGCTGCCTTCCACCATCAACATCTTGTTCAAAGCCACTTTCCATTATATTGCCCATTGCTAAGCCCATGTGTAGGATTATAGCTTAATCAGTATAATTAGCAGGGGGCAGGAAGAGTAAGCTGCTTTGCACATATCATAAAACCGGAGCCAGTATTGTGGAAATTGCTATGTATGATGACACTTGGAAGTGCTACTCTGAAAGAGCTGCCATGAAGTCCTGCAAAATGCTCCTCTAAACTGTTAAAATGGTAAAATTGCTTCTGTAACTTGACAGATTGAGGGTTCTGAGTCAAACAGATTGAAACATAGGGTTGTGGGAAACACTGAGAAGTCTTTTCTTTTTTTTAAGAGAAAAATCAAAATTGCCATCTTCGATAGAATCTTTTTTTCAAACATTCAGGTAAATAAGCTGATGCCTTTTGACAAGGGCTTTAACCTGGTATCCAGTATTTGAGCCACAGGTAAGCAATCATCCATTAACAACTGATAGTGAAATCAATAATTTCATTGCTTCAGGCTGTTTAATTTTGAACTCTGGCTGATCCTAATCTGTTTTTGTTATTATCTCTTTACTTAGAACACTTCTTTGGGTTAAGCTCTTTAAGGCATACCATCTGGTTTGTAAAGGAGCAAGGAATGAAAGCTTTGACAAGAAAGTAGTATTACTCATGTTCTCACTTCATGGTGGTGCCACAACATAGCACTTCTTGTTAATGATAATATTTTAAAGTCTTAGAAATCTGTGCTTGTCAAATTGTTAAACTAATGCTGCAGTGATAACAATTGTACTACTCACTAGAATGGTTCCTTGCATTTTAAACCACCCCTCCCTTCATGCTGAATGTTGATGTTCGCCATTATTTCCATTCCAATTCATGGCACCGTCCTAAGGCATGACTTCAATCCCAAACGGTATGCGCTGTACAGATAATGTGCTACAGCCAGGCAAGTCTGCTTATGCTCAGTGCCTGGAAAGAAGGCCAACAGGACACTCCAGATATAAGCTGCCCTGAGTTCCATGATGGAGAAACAGTTGGAAACAAATGTACTAAATAAATAAGATACAATTATTAATAATTCCAGCATTTTTTTGTGTATGGCACTTGCTACAGAGTTATCTTCCCCTTGGTAAACATTATGCCATTTAATATTGCAAAATATGGCAGGTATAATTTTGAAGGAAAGAGTTTGTTGACTTAACACTCCCCCATAACATTATATCTTGCAGTCAAAGACTGGAGAGAATCCTGTTACATACTTATGTTGGCATAATCCAGTGGTATGAATTTTAGTGGTTGGATCGCTGCC